ATAACCCGTTTCTGTTTGTAAACATGACGGTAGTAGTTTTGACAGATAGACATAGCTATCTGTCTGTTACTATGGTAGGAAAGTCTGACGAGGAAGCACTGACAGTCACAACACCGGCACCCTCTTTTGGGGGGAAAACCAACCTGACCTTCGCTTTGAGCTGATCATCCAAGCTGGCGGCGATTCTCAGCACGCACGTCTTCAGCCGGTGTTTGAGCACCAAGACGTTTGGGCCAATGAAACTTTCCAACTTCTGCTTTTTCTCTGTATGAGTCTATCGAGATTGAATTAGTTTTACCCGTATATTTTCTTAAAACTTCTCTTTCATTTAAGATTTTGACTTTTAAATTGTTGATCTTTTCATTTTGTTTGTATTTTCACTCAAAATTTATTTATTAAATTTATTTTTAGGTCATTATAATTTTATTATTTGTTAATTGTTGCATTATGTGTCTTCTGTTTCACTATCAACTGAACAAACTGAACCATGAATGTCAAAATAATCAGCCAGGAAATGTTTCTTTCATTCATTTATTTTTAATTTCTGAGAAAGACAACGCTCCATTAGGGAGGTCAAGATCAGGTGAGAAAAAACATTATTTCATATTTTGTTTTATTTAAGCCCAGTTGTTTGTTTGATCCAATCCAGGTATTCACACACATCCATGGCACAACCTGGACTCTGACATGCCTGTTGTACATCACCAACAGAAATGACACCATAAATCATGTTGTTGAAGATCACTCCTGAACCAGAGTCACCCTGTAGAAAAATGTATATCAGTACATGTTGTGCAACAGAAAAGTCTTTTAATAATTCAAAAAAACAAACTTACAAAACATATATCCTTGTTCGGTGCTTCAGTTCCTATTATATGCCCCCACATTGGTAGGAATTTGGGCATCCCTGCAGCAACTTTCATGTCGACACACTTAAGTTGTGATGAAATAGGAGTTGGGGTTACTGAAGAGAAACATGTGAATCATAAACATGTTATTCACTCAGCCTTCTCTGTAGAGAAAGAAGCAAAGATTTTATCCTCATAACATCAATATTTCTCTCACATCGCTCATTATTGGGGCCGGTTCTCTTTCCTCCCTCTCCTGCCAGTTGAACTGTATCGCCTCTAAAACACAATAAGGATAAAATGTAAAGATACAAGATGACAATGTAGAAAATTAATTGTTAATGAGCACATTGAAAGAACAGAAAATAAATCCATGAAGGACTTCATCCACAGACACAGGAGTTTCCACCTCCTGTCCTCATTAATGGTGTCCTGTGTCCTTTACATGGGTCTCTGGTCCAACACACCTGAGCTAAACAGGTTCTGGTTCTGCTGGGCCTGTTTACCTGACTGAGGTGTGCTTGAAGCAGAGGCAGCAGGACTGGAGAAATGGAGACACAAAACCTGAAGTGATGTTATTTATCAGAGAAAAACTTACATTTTAAGACGATTGTTGCAATTTGGTAGCTGAACAGGAGGGACATCTGTCACTGGTCTCTGAAGCTTCAGCAACATGATGTCATGGTCATTGCCAGTAGTATAGGTCACAGGAGGGTGTTCAATTAACTGATTATCCTGCTTAGCAGTCCGTGGATGAACTTTTAACATTGCAGTGTGATACCTGCAAAAAACTTTAGATTATAATGATCCCAGAAAATCTGATCATCTCCAGATTAAACTGTGTTAAAATCTTGTTCGCACCATCCTGCCTCCGACTTCCAGCAGTGAGCTGCAGTCAAGATCCACTCAGAGTGGATCAGAGATCCACCACAGAAGTCCATGACCGGTCCTTTGAGCATCACAAGTCGAACATGATAAAGACGCTCCTTGTCATCACAGTCATGACCTCCAATGATTCTCTTCTGCAGAGAAGCAACTGAGTTCACTGAAACCCCTGAAGAAGAAAAATGAGGACTTTTCTCAGAAATCAGGTACAAATATGGCTGCTGGAACAGAAAAAGGATAAACAGCTAAAGATTAAAAAGTATCACAATTCATATTCAAAGAAGTTTCAGTCTGAAACATTATCAAAGGGAGGTTTGAGAGACACAGTGAGCAGCAGCCTTCCTGGAACCAGTGAAAGTGTGTCCAGTGTGTCTGACTCACCCAGCAGCAGCAGCAGCAGCAAAACCTTCTGCAGAGCCATTGCTGGTCCAGCTTCCTGTGAATATCTGCCGTCCGGCAGCAGCTTTTAAGCTCTGTTCACAACTTCCTGCTGGACAGAAAGCCACTGATGACAGGAGGGACACCGATTTGTCCAATCACAGAATAGACACTGCTCTGTGCTGTCATCAGCATAAAGAGGAACTTTAACATCTCATCTTTCTCAAGTGAACTGAGAGACTTGAACTTGAATCTGGATTTTCATGAATAGGTTTGTGGAGGTGGTGAGTCAGACGCTTGGACACCCAGGATAAGGTGAAAAAAGGAAGTTTAATGGTGATGACAGTCAAAAAAACAAAACCACTGTAGGTCTACGACCAGAAAGCATGGTTGAGCAGAGGCCAGGGCTCAACTCTGGTCCAACTGGTCAAACGGGTGGACAGGTCGACAGGTAAGAGACTCATGCGAAATATGACAAGGACCCGATGAGGAACAAAGGACACAGGAGGTATTAAATACATGGAGGGTAATTAGAAGACAAGACATACCTGAGTAATTAAGAGGAACACAGGACAACAAGGGGACTCAGGGACACAGAAAACTCAAAATTAACACAGAAAAACACGGAACATGACAGGACCAACAATAATTGGTAAATGTTCTGCAGTGCACAAGCTTGCAGTAAATTTTTCTCAACGGAAAACTTGATTAAATAAAATTAATTAAATGAAGAAATAGCAACTCGTCCTTGTTTTCAGGTTTTTTGGGGGTTTTTTCTTTCAAAATAACTGTTTGGTTTCCAATCTACAATAATTCACATCTGCTTTAGCTCCCAAAAGTAGAATCATTTTGTTTATTTTTGAGCTATGAAAACGATGCTCCATACAAACAAAAACCTCCTTCATGCAGGAGGTTTTCTTTAGCCTCCATTTTAGTCACCTTGTGAGCCTCCATGCTGGCCTTCATCTTTGTGTCCATGCTAAGCTCTGTGCAAGTCTCCATGCTGGTTTGGTGACGATCTGGTGAGCAACAGTCAGTAACACTGTATTTCACGGGTTGTGAATAAGACTGTCATGACACCGTCATAAACATGACATAACACCTGTCATGTACATGAGTAAGTCTGTCATGAGTATTTATTTAACAACATGAAGCTACATCATTGTTGAAGTTTAGTCAGTAATACTTTTGTAGCAAATTTATGTCAGATCCTTATTTCTTGGTTAATGTCAAGTTGTCATAAAAGACATTTTGAATAATGTCAACTGGGTATTAAAAGTGTCATGATGTACCAAATTACACTTTATGACAACAGTCAGGAAGACTTAATTATGTTCATGAGAGGTTTTATGTCATGTTTGCGATGTTGTTATGACAGTCTTATTCACAATCCGTCAAATAAAGTGTTGCCCAACAATTTGGGATTTGACTAATTCAAGATGTGATTACGTATTCATTTGCTAAATCGGAACCCCTACCCAAAAAAACATCTGTTTTATGTGGCTAAAGATTAATTTGGTGTAAAGTGGAGCTAATGTGCTACAAAGATCAAGTTAAGCACAAAGAGAAATACAAAAAATAGAAACACGCCCTGATGCTCCATTGTCAAAAATAAAAAGACTAATGGATCTCAAATAAAAGAAAACTGAATCTTGTGATTTTATAGGCAACAAAATGTTGCAAAAAATTCATAAGGAACACGCTCTTATGGACAAAAGGACTCTTTGTCGTTTCTCTATCTATTTTATCTGCTCACACTGACGTAACCATAACATTTAAGACTAAAAACATGGCTGAAATCAATGAGTAAAAAGTTGGCAAGTTCAATATGATTCTCAAAGCCTATCAGACATGATCTTGACATTTGCCAAGATGGACCTTCCGTACGTCGGTCCATCTTGGCAAATGTCCATCTTGCCAATTTAAAGGAAAAGAGGAAAGTAAAGTAGCACTTATAGAGGAAAAAGTTGTAAAGAGTAAAACCTGTCTGTACAGCTAAATGAGCATGTAAGATAATATGTAAGACCAGTTAATCTGCAGAACCTCTCTGAACTAATTCCTTGTCGTCTTCTGCCCTGTTCTCCCAGCCTTGGCTCTGGGCTGTCAAGATCATCCAGATCATCCGATTATTCCCATGTTGGAGATTTTAGTGTAGCAGTAACAATACATGAAGTTATCTTAAAATAAAACCATCTCAAAATTGTTTTTTTTTAGATGGTTTTATTTGTTGTTAGCAAAGCGGTGGAAATGGGCTTCCATAGGTTTGTGTCCACATTGAACACAGAGACAAAGCAAACATGGCTTTGTTTTTCATTTTTCTTCTTCCCTCGTTCCCCTGTCCATCCCTCTCTCGACCATCCTTTCCTTATTTTTGTAATGTCCCCTACCTCTCAACATACGTCCGTCCGGCCGTCCGTCCTTCCTTCCTTCTTTCCCTCCACCTATCCATCCATCTTTCCCTCTGTCCGGCCTTCCATCCGTACATCCGTTCTTCCTTCCATCCGTCCGTCTTTTCGTCTGTCCTTCCTTCCTTCCGTCTTTCCATCTTTCCTTACTGCTTTCCTTTATTCCTAACTTCCTTCCTTCTGTCCGTCCGTGCGTCCATCCAACCATCAATTCATCCTTTCTCCTTCCATCTATTCATCCGTCCTTCTGTCTTTCCTTACTTCCTGCCTTTACTCCTACCTTCCTTCCGTCCGTCCGTCCGTCCATCCATCCATCCATCCATCCATCTTTCTCAGAAATTAAAAATAAATCAATAATTGAATGAAAGAGAAACATTTCCTGGCTGATTATTTTTACTTTCATGGTTCAGTTTGTTCAGTTGATATTTTCCCTGAAATGGGTTGAAAAGTGTGACATGAGTTTTAAGTCACATAAACAGGAACATCAGAAGTAATTTATTTATTCAGTTTATGTCTTTATTTTACAGCAGAAATGAACAAGCAGCATCTAAACTCTGCAGATCTGGCGATACTATTGATGATTGTACACAAAAATAATGTGTACAAAATAATGAGATAGAAGTCACATAATATAACAATTAATAAAAAATCATATCCGAGTAACTTAAAGAATAAAAATTAAAAACCACATTTCAATAAAGACTCAAACAAAACAAAAGGTTCAGTAATTACAATCTATATAAAAGTCAAAATTTGGGAAGAAAGATAAGCTTTAAGAAAATATTTAAACACAGGTACCCTTTACAATCTGAAAAGGTTAGAGCCATACAAAACATGGCTGCACCAGAGGACAAACATGCTCTTTAGAGGTTCACGGTATCATTGCAATACCTTTTTAAATGTATACCCAACTTTTCAGACTTGAGTGCTCCTTTAAATGTTATGACTTCTGCAGCATATATCTGCCTGTTTTATCTGCGGGTGAGCAGATACAAGAGATATAGAAAAGAGAGAGTCCTTTTGTCTATAACAGCATGTTCCTTCTGAATTTTTTTGTAACATTTTTGTCTATAAAATCACAAGATTCATAGTTTCTTTTACAGAGGACATTTTAGTTCCATTTGTCTCATTTGTTTTTAACAATGTAGCATCAGGGCTTTTTTTCTATTTTAATATTTATGTTTGTGCTTAACTTAGTCTTTGTTAGCGCCTTAGCTCCACTTTACACCAATCTAACCTTTAGCCACATAAAACAGATGTTTGCTTTTGATTAGCAGATGTATATATGAACACATCTCTACATAGTCAAATCACAGCATGTAAATATATTTATAAATGGTTTTAGTTTGCCTTCTGCAATGTCGTTATTGTCAAGTTATTATTTGGCGGTTAATCAGGACAAAATACGTTGTTTTGTGGGCTTTTTTTGTCCCTATACTTTCAAATATTTTTGTTTAACAACAGTCTTTATTACTAAACCTTGCTAAACAGATGTTAGTGATACTAAGTGTAATAGCAGTGTAATATTGATGTACATGAATCACATCCTATCATTTCCGGTGCGCAGTGGCCTGCGCAGTTTGGTGGACACATTGTGGCTGCGCTGCATTCAATAAAGTCTGTCACGCAACGTAATAATGGTCAAGAAAGAGTTGCGGTGATCTGTATTTGTCTTTAATTTAAGTCTATTAAAAACCTGTTTCCCCTTTCTGTTACTGTTTTATTCTTACCAACGCCTCTATTTAAAATATTATTAACAGGTAGGATGTTCTAGTAAAAGGATTAGTGCATACATCTACAGCTTTTCATTTTAAATGGGTAGAATATTCATACAAAGGAAGTAATCTTCTGGCTTCATCATATAAATTGTTCTAATGCTAAGATAAGCATAGCTCCTAAGCTTCCACTTCAGTCCCGTAACTCAAATAATGTTATCCAATGTATTTAACATTAAAATAACCCGTTTCTGTTTGTAAACATGACGGTAGTAGTTTTGACAGATAGACATAGCTATCTGTCTGTTACTATGGTAGGAAAGTCTGACGAGGAAGCACTGACAGTCACAACACCGGCACCCTCTTTTGGGGGGAAAACCAACCTGACCTTCGCTTTGAGCTGATCATCCAAGCTGGCGGCGATTCTCAGCACGCACGTCTTCAGCCGGTGTTTGAGCACCAAAACGTTTGGGCCAATGAAACTTTCCAACTTCTGCTTTTTCTCTGTACGAGTCTCGAGATTGAATTCGTTTTACCCGTTTTTGAATATTTTCTTAAAACTTCTCTTTCTTTTAAGATTTTGACTTTTAAATTGGTGATCTTTTTATTTTGTTTGTATTTTCACTCAAAATTTATTTTTTAAATTTATTTTTAAGTAAACTGATCAAGACACAGCTATAAAATTGTATCTGAGAGGAAATTTGCTAAGATTTTTTTTCATATTTTGTTTTATTTAAGCCCAGTTGTTTGTTTGATCCAATCCAGGTATTCACACACATCCATGACACCAACTGGATTCTGACATGCCTGTTGTTCATAACCAATAGAAATGACACCATAAATCATGTTGTTGAAGATCACTCCTGAACCAGAGTCACCCTGTAGAAAAATGTACATCAATATATGTTTTTATGTTGTGCAACAGAAAAGTCTTTTAATAATTCAAAAAAACAAACTTACAAAACATATATCCTTGTTCGGTGCTTCAGTTCCTATTATATGCCCCCACGTCGGTAGGAATTTGGGCATCCCTGCAACAACTTTCATGTCGACACACTTAAGTTGTGATGAAATAGGAGTTGGGGTTACTGAAGAGAAACATGTGAATCATAAACATGTTATTCACTCAGCCTTCTCTGTAAAGAAAGAAACAAAGATTTTATCCTAATAACGTCAATATTTCTCTCACATCGCTCATTATTGGGGCCGGTTCTCTTTCCTCCCTCTCCTGCCAGTTGAACTGTATCGCCTCTAAAACACAATAAGGATAAAATGTAAAGATACAAGATAACAATGTAGAAAATTAATTGTTAATAAGCACATTGAAAGAACAGAAAATAAATCCATGAAGGACTTCATCCACAGACACAGGAGTTTCCACCTCTTGGCCTCATTAATGGTGTCCTGTGTCCTTTACATGGGTCTCTGGTCCAACACACCTGAGCTAAACAGGTTCTGGTTCTGCTGGGGCTGTTTACCTGACTGAGGTGTGCTTGAAGCAGAGGCAACAGGACTGGAGAAATGGAGACACAAAACCTGAAGTGATGTTATTGATCAGAGAAAAACTTACATTTTAAGACGATTGTTGCAATTTGGTAGCTGAACAGGAGGGACATCTGTTACTGGTCTCTGAAGCTTCAGCAACATGATGTCATGGTTATTGCCAGTAGTATAGGTCACAGGAGGGTGTTCAATTAACTGATTATCCTGCTTAGCAGTCCGTGGATGAACTTTTGACATTGCTGTGTGATACCTGCAAAAAACTTTAGATTACAATGAACCCAGAAAACCTGATCATCTCCAGATTAAACTGTGTTAAAATCTTGTTCCCACCATCCTGCCCCCGACTTCCAGCAGTGAGCTGCAGTCAAGATCCACTCAGAGTGGATCAGAGATCCACCACAGAATTCCATGTCCGGTCCTTTGAGCATCACAAGTCGAACATGATAAAGACGCTCCTGGTCATCACAGTCTTGACCTCCAATGATTCTCTTCTGCAGAGAAGCAACTGAGTTCACTGAAACCCCTGAAGAAGAAAAATGAGGACTTTTCTCAGAAATTAGGTACAAACATGGCTGCTGGAACAGAAAAAGGATAAACAGCTAAAGATTAAAAAGCATCACAATTAATATGCAAAGAAGTTTCAGTCTGAAACATTATCAAAGGGAGGTTTGAGAGACACAGTGAGCAGCAGCCTTCCTGGAACCAGTGAAAGTGTGTCCAGTGTGTCTGACTCACCCAGCCACAGCAACAGCAGCAAAACCTTCTGCAGAGCCATTGCTGGTCCAGCTTCCTGTGAATGTCTTCCGTACTGCTCCAGCTTTTAACCTCTGTTCACAACTTCCTGCTGGACAGAAAGCCACCAATCACAGGAGGGAGACCGATTTGTCCAATCACAGAATAGACACTGCTCTGTGCTGTCATCAGCATACAGAGGAAATGTAACATCTCATCTTTCTCAAGTGAACTGAGAGACTTGAACTTGAAACTGGACTTTTCACGAATAGGTTTGTGGAGGTGGTGAGTCAGATGCTTGGACACCAAGGATAAGGTGAAAAAAGGAAGTTTAATAGTGATGACAGTCAAAAAAACAAAACCACTGTAGGTCTACGGCCAGGCAGCATGGTTGAGCAGAGGCCAGGGCTCAACTCTGGTCCCACTGGTCAAACGGGTGGACAGGTCGACAGGTAAGACAGACTCATGCGAAATATGACAAGGACCCGATGAGGAACAAAGGACACAGGAGGTATTAAATACATGCAGGGTAATTGTGAAGACAAGACATACCTGAGTAATTAAGAGGAACACAGGACAACAAGGAGACTCAGGGACACAGAAAACTCTAAATAAACACAGAAAAACACGGAACATGACAGGACCAACAATAATTGGTAAATGTTCTGCAATTAAATGAAGAAATAGCGACTCGTCCTTTTTTCAGGTTTTTTTGGGGTTTTTTCTTTCAAAATAACTGTTTGGTTTCCAATCTACAATAATTCACATCTGCTTTAGCTCCCAAAAGTAGAATCATTTTGTTTATTTTTGAGCTATGAAAACGATGCTCCATACAAACGAAAACCTCCTTCATGCAGGAGGTTTTCTTTAGCCTCCATTTTAGTCACCTTGTGAGCCTCCATGCTGGCCTTCATCTTTGTGTCCATGCTAAGCTCTGTGCAAGTCTCCATGCTGGTTTGGTGACGATCTGGTGAACAACAGTCAGTAACACTGTATTTCACGGGTTGTGAATAAGACTGTCATGACACCGTCATAAACATGACATAACACCTGTCATGTACACGAGTAAGTCTGTCATGAGTATTTATTTAACAACATGAAGCTACATCATTGTTAAAGTTTAATCAGTAATACTTTTGTAGCAAATTTATGTCAGATCCTTATTTCTTGGTTAATGTCAAGTTGTCATAAAAGACATTTTGTATAACGTCAACTTGGTATTAAAAGTGTCATGATGTACCAAATTACACTTTATGACAACAGTCAGGAAGACTTAATTATGTTCATGAGAGGTTTTATGTCATGTTTGCGATGTTGTTATGACAGTCTTATTCACAATCAATCAAATAAAGTGTTGCCCAACAATTTGGGATTTGACTAATTCAAGATGTGATTACGTATTCATTTGCTAATCGGAACCCCCTACCCAAAAAACATGTTTTATGTGGCTAAAGCTTAATTTGGTGTAAAGTGGCGCTAATGTGCTAAAAAGATCAAGTTAAGCACAAAGAGAAATACAAAAAATAGAAACACGCCCTGATGCTCCATTGTCAAAAACAAAAAGACTAATGGAACTCAAATAAAAGAAACTATGAATCTTGTGATTTTATAGGCAACAAAATGTTGCAAAAAATTCATAAGGAACACGCTGTTATGGACAAAAGGACTCTTTGTCGTTTCTCTATGTGTTTTGTCTGCTCACGCTGATGTAACCATAACATTTAAGACTAAAAACATGGCTGAAACCAATGAGTAAAAAATTGGCAAGTTCAATATGATTCTCAAAGCCTATCAGACATGATCTTGACATTTGCCAAGATGGACCTTCCGTACGTCGGTCCATCTTGGCAAATGTCCATCTTGCCAATTTAAAGGAAAAGAACACAGGGACAAAGCAAACATGGCTTTGTCTTTTATTTTTCTTCTCCCCTCCCTCCCCTGTCCATCCCTCTCTCGACCATCTTTTCCTTATTTTTGTAATGTCCCCTACCTCTTAACATACGTCCAAATGTCCTTCCTTCTTTCCTTCTTCTCCTTCCTTCCTTCTGTCCCTACCTTCCTTCTTTCTTCCCTTCCTACATGCCTGCCTACCTACCTACCTTCTGACCTTCTGTACGTCGGTCTGTCCATCCATCCGTCCGTCCTTCCTTCCTTCCGTCTGTCCGTCCTTCCTTCTGTCTTTCCATCTTTCCCTACTGCTTTCCTTTATTCCTTCTGTCCATGCGTACGTCTGTCCATCCGTCCAACCATCAATCCATCCTTTCTCCTTCCGTCCATTCGTCCGTCCTTCAGTCTTTCCTTACTTCCTGCCTTTATTCCTACATTCCTTCCTTCCTTCCTTCGTTGTGTCCGTCTGTCCGTCCATCCATCCATGCATCCTTCCTTCGTTCCTTCTTTCTGTCCGTCCGTCCATCCGTCCTTCTATCCATCCTTCCTTCCTTTCTTCTGTTCGTCTGTCCGTCCATCCATCCGTCCATCCTTTCTTCCTTCCGTCTGTTTGTACGTCTTTCCTTCCGTCTTTCCACCTTTCCTTACTACTATCGTTTATTTCTACCTTCCTTCCTTCTGTTCGTCCATGCGTCCATCCAAACATCCATCTTTCCTACCTTCCTTCCTTCCAACCATCCATTCTTTTTTCCTTTCTTCCTTTCTTCTATCTGTCAGTCCGTCCATCCATCCATCCATCCATCCATCCATCCATCCATCCATCCATCCATCCATCCATACTTCATTTTTCAGTCCTTCCATTCGTCCGTCCAACCATTCATCCTTTTTTCCTTCCTTCCTTTCTTCTCTCCATCTGTTCATCCAACCTTCCATTCATACTTCCCTTTTCAGTCCTTCCTTCCGTCCGTCCTTCCAACCATTCATCCATCCTTCCTTTCTTCCTACCTTCCTGCCATCCATCCAACCATCCATCCTTTTTTACTTCCTTCCTTTCTTCTGTCCGTCAGTCCATCCATCCATCCATCCATCCAACCATTCTTCCATTTTTCCTTCCTTCCTTTCTTCTGTCCGTCAGTCCGTCCATCCATCCTTCCTATTTTCCTTCCTTCCAACCATCCATCCTTTTTCCTTCCTTCCTTTCTTCTGTCCGTCAGTCCGTCCGTGCCTCCATCCAACCATCCTTCCATCCATACTTCCTTTTTCAGTCCTTCCATCCGTCCAACCATCCATCCATCTATCCATCCATCCTTCCTTCCTTCCATCCTACCTTCCTTCCGTCTGTCCGTCCGTCCAACCATCCAACCATTCATCCATCCTTTCTCCTTCCATCCATACTTCCTTCCTTCCGTTTTTCCTTTCTTTCGTCCTTTATTCCTACCTTCCTTCCTTCCGTCCTCCATCCATTCATCTATCTATCCTTCTATCCAGTTGAGTCATTGAGTCATTGAGTCATTGACTTAACAGTCTCTCTTTTAACAAGAAGACACTCCAGCTTACAGAGAATGGTCATCCTATAGTATGACCATTCTTTTTGTCTATCTTGTAAAAATAAAGAAGATAGAGAGACTAGGGCTGGAGGACATTGTACACGTCTCTATTGTGTTATGTTCACAGACACATTTTTATATTGTTGCCTTTAATCCCCAATATGAGATACTTATCGTTCCCATCTGTGGCGGCTCCCCTGCCACCATGTTGCCTGCTGTTTGTTTTTCCGCTTGCTAGTTTAAAAGGTTGCTTTTCAGGCTTCCTTTTTTGCTAGAGGGCGGAGGCTTACCCCTTAACTGCCCTTGAGTTGTGAAGTCTTCTTTAAAGTCTGGCTGTAATTTGCCTTCACCCAGAATCACAACTCTTCAGTTGCAAATTGGGTTTCTTTGGGTTGTCAGCAGGGTATTTGTGTCAATGGATGGTTGAAGTTCGAGTGTTTTATTGGTGGTTTGTGTCTCACCTTTCTCTCACCATCCATCCATCCAATCATCCATACTTCCATCTGTCCATCCATCCATCCTTTCTCCTTCCATCCATACTTCCTTCCTTCCATCTGTTCCTTCCTTCCTTCCTTCCTTCCTTCCTTCCTTCCTTCCTTCCATCCATCCATCCATCCATCCATCCATCCATCCATCCATCCATCCATCCATCCATCCATCCATCCAGTTTCGTCATTGACTTAACAGTCTCTCTTTTAACAAGAAGACACTCCAGCTTACAGAGAATGGTCATCCTACAATATGACCATTCTTTTTGTCTATCTTGTAAAAATAAAGAAGATAGAGAGACTAGGGCTGGAGGACATTGTACACGTCTCTATTGTGTTATGCTCACAGACACATCTTTATATTGTTGCCTTTAATCCCCAATATGGGATACTTACCGTTCTCGTCTGTGGCGGCTCCCCTGCCACCATGTTGCCTGCTGTTTGTTTTTCCGCTTGCTGGTTTAAAAGGTTGCATCTCAGGCTTCCTTTTGCTAGAGGGTGGAGGTTTACCCCTTAACTGTCCTTGAGTTGTGAAGTCTTCTTTAAAGTCTGGCTGTAACTTGCCTTCACCCAGAATCACAACTCTTCGGTTGCAAATTGGGTTTCTTTGAGTTGTCAGCAGGGTATTTGTGTCAATGGATGGTTGAAGTTCGAGTGTTTTATTGGTGGTTTGTGTCTCACCTTTGTTTTTGTCTTTATGTCCTTCCAAAGCAATATAATCTTCTTCCATAGCCTTTTTGCGCTCTATGGATTCCTTGAATTTCTGGTGTTGCATCCTGTCAATGACGTACAGTTCTCTCATCTTCACTATTTGGTCGGTGAGTTCCTTGATGTGGTGTTGATCCCTCTTCCTTTGTTCTGTTATTGCCTTTATTTGACCATTTAAGGATTCATTTTTTTCCTTCAGGTCTTTTATAATAAAATCATACACTGTATGGTCAAAACTCTTTTTCACAACCACAGACTCTCTCTCCTGTTTAGCCTGTTTCTCCAAGAGTTTACTCACCTGCTGATCTTTTGTCATCAGACGTTTCACTAATGTCCTGTTTCGCTCTTTTTCCTCAGCCAACACGCCTGAAGTTACACTGATCCTCGCTTTAAACTCTTGCTTCGTTTTCTCTATGGCTTCCTCCTTTGGGGTTTTCGACAGTTTCTTTTCAAAATTCTTATTTTCCTTCATTGCCTCTTTCAGCTGTATTTCCAGAGATCTTATCTTGCTCTCCAGAAGTCTGGCCTTCTCTTTTTCTTTTAAAATGTCAGCGTTCTTCATGCCAATTTCGTTATTCTTTCGGGTAATTTCAAGCTCAAGTTTCTTCACTTCGTTTTGATACTTTTCAATCTTCATGTTGCATGTTGGGATTCGTTGCATCACACGCTCTTTTTCTCCCAGGATCTTCTCGGTCTGCAGCTTTGACTCCCTTATGACTTTCTTCAAATCGTTTTGAAGGTCTTTGACTTTATTTTTGTATTGCTTCAAGTCAGACAACAGCTGAGTCCTGTGCGATCCGCGATGCTCTATCTCTTGCTTTAACTTTGGGATTTGCTCACATTCCAGGAATTTGTTGTGCTTGAGAGACCAGTTTAGCTCTTTGGTGAGTGATTCGATTTTCTCCTGTAAAAGCCCAATTTGTTTCTGAGCATTTTCCAAGTCCTGCTGCCTTGTGCTCTCCTTAATCAGTATTCCAGCTCTTTCCCTAAACTTTTTCAACCACTCCAGAACCACGATGACCAGTTCGTCTCGAGTCATTTGTCTGATTTGGGTCTTTGTTAACAAGTCACTGTGAGATGAAAACATTTCGGCGGTCCGACCGGCGAATCCCAAAGAACCTACGAAACAAAATGCAAAGTTAAATCCAAGAAGGAAAAAGTGAACCTCGTGCTGCTTGTCCTAGAGTTCTGTGGCTTTAATTCAGATGCAGCACCTTGCCTATGTCTTCAATGACATCATAACACTTTGCCGTCATCAGATTCCGTCAGTGGAATAAATTAATGCGTGCTATGTTGCTAGGGGACATCAAAGCACAAACACACAAACGCATTGTATTTTCTTATTGTCTGAAGTGAAATCAGAGCAAACTTCTCCTTTTTTAAAGTTTGGTTAGAATTACCAAAATTATTCCTATTTGCTAAATCTCAGAAAATTTAACAAGAACATTCTTATAGTATTTTTTTTTCTTTTGGAAAAAATGGCTTCTTCTTCACTGAGCGGTCGTTCTGCTCATGTCTGTGCAGGACGTGTCACTGTGAATAAAGACTAGGGGTTGACCTTTATCATATCATTTGTGAAAGAATTTTTAATTGTCCTTGTCTCAATAAATTTCTGTCATTGATGGTAAATAAAAACCACAAAACTGATAAGTGTTATTGGACGTTATTTTCTCTATTTTCACCACTGTAGTTCCCATGAGAGCACCAATAAATATCAGTGAAATTGAAAATATGATTAAGTGCACTTGTGGTGTGGAACTCAGTGACATAAATCACACTCTTTTTGTTTAGTTAATGGTGTCTTGAAGAAGCGTAACATTTCTGTTCATGGCTTTATAAAGGCTCAGTCATAAACTTACCTAAAAAATAAAATTTTATTATAATTTTTGTGGTTAACACAGTAGTACCAAGCAATAATACGCTAAAACTCAAAGTATCCCACCTATAATAACAGCATCTTAAGGGCAAAATATTTAGCAGAATTTTATTTAGATATGAATGAAGAGATAGAAAATAAAGCACTTTTCCCCATTTAATAGACTTTATTCAATATATTTTTCCATAACAGTATGTTTGTGTTAAAGTGCCTTCTGAAAACGCTAAGGGAGCAGGTCCCTTGGTGTTGGCTTGATCAAAATTCAGACTAGTCACAGTCACTGATAACATCCAGTACACAGATAACAGTATTACATATGCAATTGTGCTGTTCACATATGGTCCCTAATTACCATAAATATGTTGTTAACATATATCTTATATAGTACACATCTGTTTACAATGGAAGAAAGAAAGGTGAAGATTGTGCAAAGACAGAAACGGCAACCGTCAGACGAGATATTCCACTTGGCCCCTGTAACACTGAGATTAACAGCAATATGCATTACAATGAATCCACGATACAACGGTAAATGCATTCGGGTTCAAGCAGTCATAACTTTCTTCCTGGTATCCAGAGGAGAGTACATTCTCGCATCCTTGTGCTTCTTGCTAAAATAGGCCAGACACAACAGCCAGAGGATTATATAGATTCATTCTTAATCTCAGAACATTCAGGCCAAAGACTCATTCACAGAAATCAACAAATAATAGAAATTGCATCACGCCTCAATAAACAACGTTTCTTTTTTCTTTTTACAAACATCTAGAAGAAGTTTCACACAAAACAAATGGGTTGCTCTGGTCCTGGTTCTCTTTCTTTGGCAGACAATGTCACTATAAATAAACTTTATTCTGCAGAGTACTTTTACAAATGTATTACACCGTAATACAGAGAAAGACAACGCCACATAGCAATAAATGATCCTGCAAATGCTGGATGCTAAATAAATATGTTCTTATATGCGCAAATATTCACTCACTGCCAATGTTTAAACTCACTTGTTGGCATTGCGTGACTGTTGCGAACAAATGGGAGCCAGCCCTAAATGAGACAAAGGTTTTCACAAGAGCTTATCGTCACGAGGGAAGACATTGCAGACTGTAGCTCTATTTACTGAGGACATAAAATGCTTTTAGCAGAGTGCCTTAGCATAGCCTGTTAGCATGAAACGCATGACATCAAAAAACACACGCCGCTTCAGCACGATGATTTAGGATCAATAGGCTGGTGCATACAAAATAAATATCAGCTCCATTTATAGAGAGTAAGAGATATATATCATAGAGCATCCATGAGTCAATTATGAGTAGCAAATGTGTGATGCAGCAAAGCTATTCAGTAATTTTTCTGTGCTTTTTTTCCCTATCTTTGTAATTTACAATCTTCACACACACACCCCCACACACACACACACACACACCCCACACACACACACACACACACACACACACACACACACACACACACACACACACACACACACACACACACACACACAAGCTTGAAAAGAGAAATGTCTGAATGAGAGTCTTATTGTTACATTTACGTTAAAATATTAAAAGTCTCCACATCACAGAAAAATCCTACGCTTTCTGTACCTGGAGATGTCAGATACAGGTTATATATTTAATCTACTATGTGAACTTGTTTCTCTTCAGCTGCTGAAACATGTAGAATGCCTCAGGTAAGTTACTCCTGAATAAAAAGAAACCAAAACCAGACTTTACTATTCATTCATCTTTCTGCAGAACTATTGGTGTTTCACGTGACTGGTATTTTTGCTTGTTTGGCTCGAGGCAAAAAAACCCCCCACAGTTTGCTGTCTGAATAGCAGAGAGATCTACAGGTCTTGACCCATCCTCTCAATCTCATCAATCAGGAAGTCGATGTCAGACTGGGTGGCGGCAGGATTGGAGACAACCATGCGGAAAAAGTTGACTTTATTGCCCTGGGGTTGGTAGCCCACCATTGTGGTCCCCGACTCCATCATCATAGCCTTGATTTTTGGAGCAACCTGGTGGAGTCAAAACGACAGGTTACTATGAAGCAAACCTGAATGCCTGTGTGTGCACAATAAATCACAAATATATATTATCTTTGCAACATCAAGGAATGTGATATTCATATCACAGAGGACTGCTTAGATGGCAACGATCGCTGGGAATTATATTCTCAGTGTGATAAGAGTCTAATATTTAGTTAGTTGAACAGAACATATGCGCACAAATGACCTTAAAGCAATTTTTTTTCTTTTACACATAAAAATCAGAGCAGAGTGACATTTGTTGGAACAAATGGATTTTCATTGAGAATCAAACATTTATTTATTTACTAATTAGGTCACCACTTGGATTTTAGTTAGGCAGGTCGAAATGGATTGGTATAACGCAAACCTTTTGAGATCTTTCTTCCTGAAGAAAACTGGAAAACACAATTGCATGCAATTTCATGCTGCTCTGTCACATAAACTTCCAATTAAATTTAAATTTGTGTTCATAATGAGACGAATTGAAAACAATTCCCAGAATGTGAATAATTTGGTAAGAATCCTAAGTTACCCTGTGGAGTTTTTCCTGCCTCTCATTGCTGTCGGGCATTCCTCTCAGGCTGGGTGGGATGTACCAGAAACAGACATTTGTGTGCTGAGGCTGTAGTCACAAACAAATATGATTCAGCCACATTAGTCATTAAACTGTTTTACTTTTTGTAAAAAAAAAAAAAAAAAAAAAAAAAATATATATATATATATATATATATATATATATATATATATATATATATATATATATATATATATATATATATATATATATATATATATATATATACACACACAATTTATATATGTAATTAATAAAATTATATTAAAAAGTCAAATATACACTGTATAATTTAAACTGAAAGCTGCTGAAGCTCACCACGCCATCAAAAACCATCTGAAATCCCTCCCGGTTCTTGATCTTGTTGTACAGGTACTGAGACAGGTCCAAACATTTGTCGATGTGCTGCTCGAAGCCAATTGTTCCCTGAGGGGAAACGTTGTTCAACCAATGTTTATTGGTATAGAAGCGAACATTAGCTATTCCTATTGAGTTAATGACTCGTCAGCCAACTCACCTTGGCTTTCCACATGAGCCAGAACTTAAAGATGTCGACGTGCCGACCACACTGGATGGCCTTGTCGCCTGTATCGTAGGTGACGTCGTACTGTTTGTCTGGTTGGAAAAGGTAACCAGCGCACATGGAGTTACAGCCTGCAAGGATTCCCTGCAGAAAAACAAGGCACATAACTTTAGCACTTCCCCTCTGACTCCTCTAAACAGATCAGCTGGAACTTGAAGGGAATACATATTTATGTACAAATATTGATTTTTCTGTTTGTACCTTCTCTCTGACTAGGATGGCAGAACACTGCAAAGGGACACCCATCATCTTGTGGGGGTTCCAAGTGACAGAGTTGGCCCTGCAATGTTGAATACATGTCATTATGTGAAATATGTCCATTCATTCACTCATTAAAGGATGAAAATCTCCAGCAGAATTAGGGTGCATTCACACCAACCCCATTTAATCCACTTTAATTCAACTGTAGTTCATTTGCCTAAAAAGTTTGGTTTGTTTGAGGAAGCTTGAACGTGCAAATGTAGTCTGATGTGGACCAAAAAAAAACAAACTCTGGTTTACCCATAAACGTCAGTCTCGGTTCCACATCAGTGGACTCTGATGTGTTTTCAATGCACATGTGGACACCAAGTGTACCGGAGACTGTAGGAACCGGAGTGTAGTGCACGGCATTCTGAGTAAATGCAACCAAAACAAATGTTTGTGTCTCACACTAGTAGGAGAAATGACTTGTGGTCTATTGCCTAAGACATATGAACTGAGTCTACTGGACTATCAGGTGTGAAAACACTCCTCAGACACAAGAAACAGACCGTTTCTGTTCTCATGCTGTCTTACCTCTCAACTCCATTTAGTTTATGACGATGCTTCCTAGACATCAGCAGTCCACCGCCCCAGGCGCCCTGAGAAGATAAAATAAGTACGTTTAAAGATCAGATGGATCTCTGATCCATATGTATGTGAACCCCAAGTTATTAGTTACTCACATCAACATGAAGCCACAGGTTGTACTTCTCACAGATGTCAGCAATTTCGTTGATGGGATCAAATGCTCCATACACAGTGGAACCGGCTGTGGCATTTACAAACAATGGCACGTAACCCTGGGGAGACAGAAATTATAGATGGATCAAAATCTGAGTTAAAATGAAAAACATACAATGAGTAGAAATAGTGACACCAACCTTTTGTTTTGCATCAATGATTTTGGCCTCTAGGTCTGCAGGTATGACTCTCCCTCTGAAAACATGCAAAACAATATTTATTTATACTCTTGGTTTCAAGCGTCATTTTTATACAAGCGGTTTTTTTTTTTTTCAGATTGCAGCTTTTTCCTCAACAAACCTTTCGTCAGTACTCAGCAGGATGACGTTATCGGTCCCAAAGCCAAGAGCGGCTCCGGCCTTCTTTATAGAGTAGTGGCTCTGCAGGGAGACACATCAGACAAAAACTTCATCTATGACCAAACAGCCCCATTTGGAGAAGGTTGAACATTTTTGTCAGATAATTGCTAACTGATTTTTTTTTTTCTCTCGCTTGCAATAAAACTGTTGAGTGTGCAATTCTTGCAAAATGAGCATCTGGCAGGAAGAAAAGAACAAACATGAACATTTTCCTTCTTAAAACATTTTTCCACAAAGAGTAGAGTGTTTTTTTTTTTTTAGAAATAATGTTTACCTTGCATGACTAGCAACTGCTTTTGTCAAAATTGAATATGTGTCATAAGATGAGACTTTTTGGTAAAACGTGAGTTAATTGCTGGAGAATAAGCGTGGGCCAAATTGTGCCAATTTGTCAATTTAACCTGCAGGGGGCGCCCTTCAGTCACACAGTGAATCCAGAGGTGAATGAAGAGAAAAGCAGCAGCAACCATAGCATTAGCTTGCTTCTTTAATGCTACTCATTATACATGTAATATTTCTCGCTTATTGTCACTTAAACATGTTTTTGTGTCTGAGTATCAGACAAAAAATTTACTCATGTAAGATGAAAATATTAAGAAAACTTTTGCATCTCAATAATTTACACAGATATGAATATGCATTAAAACTGCAAAAAACCTCAAATTCAGTTTCTGTGAAAATTTTATCATTTAATCGCCATCATTAACAGAAAAAAACACCAAAAATGATTACAGAAATGTTAGCCTACTAAAGGACTGGCTCTGAGTTTGACAACTCTGCTGATTTTGCTTTTTAATGGTATTTTAATTTCGTGAGATTCCCAAGTTTGTGATTCCGGGGAACAAAAGAAACGATTTTTCAAAAAGTTTCCAGCCTGGAAATACTAAACAAGAGCAAAATGATTATGGATATTAACTCACAATATTTTCAAATTTGAAGCATTTGAAAAACTTTTCAGAAGATTTCAGCTTATGAGTACTTGATGAATAAATCTGAACCCCAGATTTTCAAAGGGTGGAGTAGCGCGTTGGTGTGTGATGACGTACATGTTCGGATGTGAAAAGGACGAGGCGGGGAGCAGCAGACATGCCCTTAGTCTTGACCTCAGGAAAGTACTTGTAGCGAGCGATCATCACGCTGTACATGTTGGAGATGGCGCCTCCTGTCAATGAAAGACATAATTCAGTTCCACAGCAGAGAATCATCCAGACTCAGTAAAATATAATGAGCGAGGAGGAATACCCCCAAAACCTCCTACGTCACAGTACGTCAAGAGTTAAATAGGTAAAACTATCTACTGATTTCTCCCCTGAGAGTCCCATCTATCATGAAACCAACCAGTTAAGTGAACTCTACAGATTATGAAAGGTTCAGAGGTCAAATATCCAGGTAGAATCGTGTCAGATGCTTGAAGGCTACAAAAACTGTGCGAGCGAGGTGCGGCTTGTTAGGAACAATTAACAAAATATCACTGAGGTTGTACAGTCAAGTTCAAATTTATTCTTTCCCCTGGCAGATTTAGATTTGAAGTTATTTTTATTCAGCCAGGAAGTTTGTCTTCAAACGTAAGAAGACAATGAAAAAAAAAATTAAATTTTTGGGAGAAAAAAACTATTTCTATACATTTCTTTTTGCGCAAATTTCCATTACAAATGTGCGCAAAACTTTGTGTTTTTTCGGCATTAGAGGAATGTTGATAGTTTCACAACTGCAGTGTTGAACAGTCCATTAAACAAGAATTGCTGATATCGTCATTTGTCCATAAGTTCGTCCTTGCGATAAGTAATTAAAAACATGCCACCCTGTGATCCTCCAACTACTTCTTGTTGTCTTCTTCATGGTTTGATCATGTCACTCTGATGATGTGAAAAAAAAGAAGAAAAATACTGTTTCCACTGCAGTTTTGTGAAATAATCCCATTTTGATGGGCCACAAAAAAAAATCTCATCAGAGAAAACCTGTTTATTAAAAAAGTTGTTTAAAAATTGCTTTCCATTCAATTTATTTTCTAAATATCAAATTATACAATTATTTAACACAGCTTGTGTATACTTTACCCAAAAATTGCATTCCAAAAATTACTTATACATTACTCAGTGCATTAGTGCATTTATTGGCTTTTTTTGCACGTTTCCACAGATATTTTTGACAGCTCCTATTTTCCAATGAACTTAAAGTATTGACGATAACATTACGATTTTTCTTTGCTCCCTTCACAGGTTTTCTTTGGGATTTAACTCTGGCTGGTTCATAAACCAGCCAGAGTTTATGAACCAGCCAGAGAAAAGAACAAACATGGACATTTCCCTTCTTAAAATATTTTTCCACAAAGAGTAGAGTGGAAAATGTTTTTTCCAGTCAGAAAGAAACATGTTGAAAAGCTAGGTCACTTTAAATCTAAATCTATTGATTGTTGTGATGATTTAAGACTTTAGTTATAATTGAGCCTGAATGACGGAGCATTCACACCAACTGAACTCAATTTTTTTATGAAAGACTGTAACGTTTTAAATTGTACATTCAAACTACCTTGTTAAAAGAGCCATCCAAATAAACATCTTAGAAAGCCCCAAATATTCCTGCCAATGATCCATGTAAGTATTTTCTGAGGAAAACCACAGATTCTTCTTCTAGTGACAGTATTATTAAGATCCTTTATAGCACGTACTTCTTCAGCTTATCCACCGAAAGTGGGATTTATTAACTGACCTGGTGAGAAGAGGCCATCTCCTTCTCCGCCTGGCCAGCCAATCATCTCTCTCATCTTCTTCAGAGTCAGCTGCTCCATCAACACGAACACCGGAGCAATCTCGTAGGTAAACCTGCGAGTCATACCGTCCCATTATCAAGACGGCACATTGCTCCATATTGCAAACACATTTGGAAAATGAAGGTATGCAGCACTTGCAGATGTGAGGCTCCAAACAGACACATCAGCACATGCACACACACGCGCACACCCACACACATCTCTTCCATTGTTTCCATTAGCCTTTGTGCATTTCCATCCACACAGGACAGAGCCGACTGGGCTAATTAAAAAGTTTCTGATAGGAGCCAACCCACAAACATTCATATTGAAATGGCTTCTGAAATCATTGAGTGGTTTAATTAGAACACACAAAGCCCTGATGGCTATCTGGCGGTCCCGCCTGTCCCGGCGACAGCTCTGAATGGGGCCAATGTGACGGCTGAAAGAACACGAATGTGTGTGGATGTGTGGACGAAAGGAGGAGAGAGTATGTTTGAATGAGATAACAGCCCTGGTTGGCCCTAGAATTAAAAAAAAGTCTGAATCAATGAATTTTACCATCGCATTAAAAGAACAAAAAATATTGCAAACCAAATAGAAAAATTTAATTTTTTAAGATCCAGAAGAAGAGGCGAGGAGTAGATTTAAATGCTAGGTGATGTTGGTTCAAAAACAATAAAATGAGAGGCATGTCGACCGACGACAAAAGAGCAAAACTGCTTTAAAGTAGGTTAAATCTGACACAGAGAGCCGACTCTTCCAACCAAGCACACGCGCCTTTGCTCTCTTTGTTACGTGACGAGCCATTCTCTACACGCTGCCTCCGGACACGTCGCTGTTTACCGCGCCTATAAGGAGGCCAGTTATGCAACACTTCACTGCTTCCATCACTGAAGAGGCGCTGCTTCACCGTGACAAAAGTAGGCTCTCCTCTCCTTGACCCACACTGGTTTTGGTGACATTGTGGTGGGAGAAGAGAGTGGGATGGTCTATTTGCCAATCAATCCCCTGTTTTGTTCCTTTGAGTTATTATTTCATCCATATCTACGTCTGTTTTGTATCCATTGTGTCTCAGATAATATTTTCATTGTAAGTTGTTTTGAATAGAGGTGCAGAAAAAAACCCTACAATTCTTAGTCCTGGCAATTCTGAATCAATTCAAAAATCAATTTCAGTCTGCTTCATTTTGCTGCAAAATTATATTTTGAACAATTCTTTGAAAATTGTTTCTGAATCAAATCGTGTCACTGAATCGGAATTGAATCGTTAGACACTGAAATATTTGCGTCTCTAGTTATGAAGATAGTTTGTCATTAAAAAAACTCAGAATCTCATGTAATTCATTTCAGGTAGATGTAATTAGAGAACATTTTCCTCCCTCTATCTTTAGCTTCTCATCCCTGTTTGGGTTAGCTGACTCCCATAGGATATGGTTTTTCACCCCTCAATGTATCGAAATGACTCTAGATGACCTCCAATAAATATTTATTTTTAGAGTCGATTTATTTCAACTACGTAAGGAATGAGAAGGCAAATGGTGAAATGATGAGCACCCTGTGTAGGAGATAGCTTAGAAACAGGACAGAAAAGAGATAAAAGGTTGAAAGAGAGGAATATTTTGTGATTGGGTCTAATCCATGTACTGCCCTGCAAGCTAAATTTCATTGAGCAGACATAAAAAGACAAAGTCTCCTTTTGTGACTTATGGGCTTTGACTTTCATCCACAACAACAAAAGGACAAAACTGCAGAGATGACAAAAAGACCAAGATCAAAGTCTTTTATGATATGTTGGAAGTATGGATTTTGAAAGAAATAATACATATATTTAATCCCCAGAACATATCACTGTCTCTGGTTTTAAAACCAATCCCCCCAAAAACGGGACAAAACTGATGCACCTTTTTAAAATTCTCCTTATCTCTGAGTCATTTCATGCTGTAATGACAATAATGGTGATCATTATCACAATCAGAGCCAATCATTGGTCTTTTCAGGGTGAAAATTACCCCTCAGTCACCTGCCTGTCCCCCAGAGACAGCCCCTAAATGCCCTTATTATCATCATCAAGGGCGTGCAGTGTGTGTGCGCGCTTAGATGAATTCGTGCACGGATGTGTGTTTTTATGTGCTAAACCCTCCGACCCTACACACAACGCTGCTTTCCGCCACTCAGAGGAGCAGGGACTCAGTTCATAACCATGGAGACAATAGAGGCGGAATGGGGACTCTGCAGGGATCTGCGGCAGCCGGTTTCCTCGCAGTAACAGGGTTTTCTGTGCAGCCTGAGGATATTGTGTGTCAGTGTGGGGCCCAGCTGGCCTATCTGCTAAGACCAGCTCACAATGAGCCGGCAGTCAATGGACTGGAAAGACTTGCTGCTGAATCTGGGACGGCCGGGGCTAGTGTGTGAGTGTGTGAGTGAAAGTGCGTGTGCGGTTGTCGTTATGGAGGTGTGTGAGTGTGGAAAGTCAATGGCCCTGTCTCTTGGGGGATTCTTCCTACCAGCAGATGAGAAGGGAGAGAGTAGATTAAGGAAGAGGTCATTTCTTGAGATAATGTTTAGAGAAAAAAAATGAATTAACTTAGTGCTGTAGCTTTTTGGTAATTCATGTAATGTCGTTGCAGTTTTTTTTTTCTCTTCGGCTGCCTACAGCTTGTTCAGTGTCATGTTTTATGCCACATGGCTGCTGTTCACGGTTAAATCTGAAGAAGCAGCATAAAATTATAGCATGTTATTAGTTCACTACATTAATAGCTTTCAATGTATTATCTCTACCAAAATAAAGTGACGTTTTAAATATATATTTTCAGATTGGAAACCGTACGTATAGCTCAAGCTTGCTTAAGGTTTGGACAAAGAGGAAAAGTGCACACGCCTCTAAATTGCACTCATTCTTAAATGTGTTGTCCTTCCTGAGACCAAAGGAAGTTCTTCAGTTTGTAGTTTCACTGCTGCTTGGGGCGCTCAGATAAAGAGCTAGGCATCATTTCAGAGATGAAAGGACAAAGTTGGCTTCAACTTGTTGAGTTGATGCCCTCAGAAACAATAACTTTGGTTTTTTTTCGCTTTGCAGATGATTGTCAAATCATACCTTGTTGTACGCTACGCTCTGTTGCACTTCCTTTTTAGTTAAGGACACTTCTACAGTACACAACACCCCAACAACAATCAGGATCAGCCTGGCCAGCTGAGACACCAGCATGGCTGGATAGCATTGCTTGTTTGTTTGGTCTTTAATGCATCAAACTCAAAGCAAGGCAAAGGAATTTAATTAAGCAGTTAGAACAAGCAAGAACATTTTTAAGAACCAGGACTGGACGACATGACTGAAAAATTATATAAGCGATTAATATCAGCCGATATGGATAATTTTTTTGTTTTAAATACCTGAAATGCTGCCAAACTAGTGATTTTATCTTTCCTGTTTTATCCCATTTTCACTCCACATAGTTTTTTTATTTGTAAGTCATTATGTGACACATTGGCAAAACATGAAACTGCTGCTGTGCAACTTACCTAGCACATTGTTGCTAGGTAACCAAAGAGTGAGCTTGTCAGCTAGATGAGAGAGGTTGACTGTCTACATCTCCCAGAATGCTGTGCGGTTTTGGATCAAAGTTCAGTGAATATTCTAACGATTGAATATTCTATCAGATGTGTACGATAAAGGTTACGATTATTAGTAGTAGTAGTACAATGTAATGGTAATTTATATTGGTAATTTCAAGTTTAAAAACTCTGAAAATATTGGACTAATTTTGTTTCTTTACACGATGGATTCATCCTTCCACTTTCTAAGAAGGATTACGTTCGTTTACCTATTACCTTGGTGTTACTTATTCTGTTTTACAGATCGTATCAGGGTAATGGCTTTTCTTCTCTTTTTTCATCAACATGCACATGTACTGTGTGGGTTCATGTGAATTAAGAGCATCTAAAGCAGATGTGGTTCACGCCCTCCATCAGACTGGGCCACCATGTAAGTCTGACCTGAGATCAATATGCAATCTAACCACCCCTGGGGCATTGCGGCCTCTGATATGCACAATAGCAGAGCGGAGTCCTGCATCTGTCAATACAAAGTCTTAACAGGACAAACAGAGCACTTTATATAACTAGCCTTGTGGTTGTTGGGACCTGTGGCAGAGCGAGCTCAGGGGACCGACATAAACCCTTCCGCTGCATCCTGTTATGGTAATGACCATAGGCTATTTCCAGCAGTCTTTAAAAAGGAAATCCCAGTTGTCCTTATGTGACACATGTTAAGATGAACTGTGTCCCGCTCAAGGACAAGCAGAGGCCTGCATGACTGTATGACTTACATGTTGGTGTTCGCCGTGGAAGTGAGCCACTCTCCGGCGAGACCGATGATGTCCAAACCAGAAGATAACTGATTGAAGAACCGTGGATGGCCTGAACAAATAAACACATGCAGACCGCATTAGCAGGTTGCAGCAGGTTTTATATACAGAGCGAACAACTAAATTGAGTTTATGTCATGCACTACAGACAATCTGATTATGATTTGAGTGGAAAAAAACAAAAACAGAACAAACAGAAGAGCTGCGGTGCTCAGTGTTTTTCTTTCTCTGGTCACCAATGAAAACAACAGATAAAACATGAACGTTTAGTATGCAATATTTGCCCTGGGTGACAGCTGTTTAAACTGCAAGGTGCTCACATACAGCCAACACTCGGCCAAGGATGTGAGCTCTCTACATGGTTTACATGATGAAGAGATGCATACTAAGTATCACAGAAAAAAGAGCTGGTATATCTGCTGTTACTGCCATCGGAAGAAATGGTCCACTTTCTGTTTCAGCACTGTGGAGAGCTCCACTTCAGCCTACACACACACAATAAAATCCTCCTGGCAGTGCTTTATAACGAATAGAAAAACAGAGGCTGAATTGAACAAGCATGGGGTAAAACCCAGGGGACAGTTTGAGCTTTGTCGTTTTAGCAGCTTGAAACAGCCCACGTCAGGATCGCCCTCAGGCTGCACTCGGTTTAATAAGTCATGGGGGGAAACAGGAGGGGATGTCAAATGAATAGCAAGGGGAAACACATAAGGTAATAGTTATCTTAATGGACTACATGTGTGGAAAAAAAAACCCTCTTTGTTTTTCTGACGCTTAATTTAAAAGTAAATATTGATTTGAAAATGTAATTATACATTTTCTTCAGCCTGAAAAATTGTAACCAAGTCACTTTGCTAAACCAGTAATATTTTAGCAAGCTTTTGGCCAACAGTTTAACTATTTGAAGTAATTTTCCTATGTAACTGTGTAAAATTAAAGGGTAGCATTGTGTGAAATACATTTTTTTAAGCTTTACGTCATGTTATAAAGTCATACTTTCACACCTGTTTGAGAACTACTTTAATCTCCCATGGCAACCATCCAGCTGTGCAAAAGTGCCTTCAAAAACGAAGCTCCACCTTGAAGCTGCGGTTTTCGAGGTTCTGCTACACACAGCAGCCCTCCCCAGAAACTCCTCTGCTCAGCTCCTTCAGACTAGCCAGCAGCAATTAGCACACACACCTTGTGTCTGCGCATCTACTGAACTCATTATACGAGCTGCTGCTCACCTGTCCGGATGCCATATTTCAGCGTATCCCTGCAGTCCACCAGGATCTGCTCCAGGGACTCCGGTTGGTCAGACAGCTCCAGGTTGAAACCCTCCATGCCCTCCAGCAGCTGGTGAGGGTGGTGGAAATCCAGCACCTTCGTGGAGCGGTCAAAGGTTTTCTTGATGTAGTTTGTGAGGATTTCAACAACCTCCAGCAAAAACTGTATGGTGGGCTCTTCTCCATTTTTGGCTGGCAAAAGGTCTAAGAAGTGGAAGGGGGAGAGTTAGAGGGAAGAAAGCTCAGCGGTGAATTTAAAACCGGTCCTTGTTCGAAATTCAAACATATTTAAACACGACCAAATTCAATTTGATCTCCAAATGTTTGTTTATTTTCATCTTGTGTCTCAATGCCAGTTGGAATCAAATAGCTTGAAGACGACAACAGGCTTATTTGATAACTGCACTAAACTTTAAAAGGACTAATTGAGTGACCAATGAGAATAATTACCTTTAATAATTAATAAAAACTTCCTTGCAGCCAAGTTGTCACGCAGTAATGTGAAATGCTGAACATTGAATCTATGATGGTTTTAGACAAAATGGCTGCATTAAATGAATCACAATACTTAGTCAAACTTAAGTTTTACCAGGGCAGTTTTGAGAAATTTTGAGTTTTTTATTAAATAGTTTTCAAGCTGGACATCATGTAAACCCAACAGGTTTTAAAATACTTCTTGAGTATTCAGAAAAAAACTGAAGTTGCAAACTATATTTCAGAAAAGCTTTAATTAGCGTAGAATAACCGAAAGGATTTGACCTGAAAGTTCATACAGTTGACAAGACCAAACCTCATTTAAAGTTGTGTGCAAGTATAAAGAGTCTTATAATCTGAATAGGATAAATGTTTCACAAATTGTATTTCCTGAAACCTGTCATTGACGCAGAATAATTCTGTCCAGATTTTAGTTTGCAGTTTTCTGGCTGGACCCCGTTTAAGGCGGCGAACAAGCTGAGCACCTTCAAGTCATTCTTCTTTTCGAGTTTCAACAAACTGAATTAAAAAAAGCTTCATAAACTATATTTTATACAATTTCTAAAGTATTTGTGCCAGGTCACTTCCAGGTTTGACCTATGTGCTGCAGTTTTCTGAGCTGAGGCGAAGAAGAACCTAAAAAGCTGCAAATCACATTTCCAGTGTTTGCCAATTGAAAATAAAGGTTGCACAAATCAAAAGAATGCATTTTGTTGAATCTTTCATAGGTGAAATACATCCAAATTTGACCTGTCCAAGAATTTATTGCGCTTTCATAATAGTCAAAATCAGGTTTTACTATTGTTTTATATACACTTTGAAACAGCAGTACTACAGATGGTTGAGGTGAAATAGCCCTTAAATCATAAAAAAAATCTAATTAGGAGCAAATTTAAGCGTCGTAAATAGTCTAACAGGTGAAAACAAGCAATAACATTAATTAATTTGTCTTAATAGCTAGTTAATTGTGCTTCTCGGGGGGGAGGGGACATGAAACAAAACAGATATAATTTCACAAACTTTATAAATTTAGCTAATTACGAACACCTGTGGACTTACAGTAAGAACGACAGGCCAGCGACACAGAAAAAACAACGAGGAAGCGCTTTTGGGAACACTTCAGTACCAAGGCGTTGCTAAAAGCAGAGTTTTAGGCCCACCACTACGACCAGGTGTGAAGGTCTCACCTCGGGCGAACAGGTTGGAGAAGTCCGTCTCTGTGCGGCGGTAGCGCGAGTCCCTGTCACTGTTGTCGCACGAGAGCAGGTTCTTCTGGCCCGCGAGCCTGCCTCTCTCTTCCAGGCTGTTGTTCTTCTGCAGGAAGCCTAAAGTGTTGCACGACGAAGAGAACGCGTTATCTCCAAGCACCTCCATTACACTCGGAAAAACAAGAATATATATATAGGCTATATATATAAAGAAATAATAAAAATGAGTTTATGCCACAAAATCATGAGACGATGAATGTCCGAAAAGACCCGTTTCATATGATCTGAACCATGTGGAATGCAAATTGGCGTGGGCAGGTCAGCCTTAAATAGGCCAGCAGCACGCGCCGATGTTGGGACTCGAGGACCCGGAAGAGGGGGAGGAGGGGGTCCCGCCCAGGGACAGCACAGTCAGTCCCTACCAGCAGGGAGCAACAACAGGCCCACTCAGTACAACGGCACGGCAGCCCGGGGCGATGTTCCACGCAGCCGCTAAATACAAACCCAATGGTTACTGACGGCCGAACATTGTCCCGAGGTAGTCTGCCTGCGCGCGCCCAGTGGGAGGCCTATTTTACGTTCAGCCGCTTAATCAAGCGGCTCCTCACTAAATGGCTTTCTGTAGATAAATGCGTAAAAACATAGAGGTCCCGTTCACGCCTGCTCGAAACCCTTTTATCTGAAGGCGTAGTTATGTCTCTTATTATAAAGCAATGTCTTCGTGACATTGTAAACGTCCTCACTCCACCTGCCCTCAAAGCACGACGTCGTCCAAGTCGAAATGATAAATTAAAATGAAAGACGACAAAAAAACAAAACAACAAAAGGATCGCTGGCTTGTCGTGCTTCCTGAGGCCTTTCATTGATTTCTGGTGAGACGAGCAGGTCAATAACATTCCGTTTGATTACCTTCATCTCCATTTCGTAAATCCACATCATCCGTGGTCACAAAAACAAGCCTCAGATTTATTATTTTTTTAAATAAAAATAACAATAAAATAATAATACCACTTTCATCAAATTGAGACGAAAATGTTGTATTTAATTCAAGGAATATTTCGTTGTTTTTTGTTTGGGTTTTTTCTCCTCCCCCTCCTCGACGTGTCGAAAGTGCTTTTCTTCTCGGTGCTGATAAGGAAAGGACACGTTGGTCAGGGAGCGGGTTGTGGGGGGTGTCACCACCGCACGTTAGGGGGCTAATGCCCGCCGACCTTTGGGAGATGGAAACGCAAAGTGACAGTGGAGGACACGGCCTGTATGAGCAGCTCAGCTCCAAGCAATGGCCTACATTTCAGCAGGCCTCCAAATGGGTGAAAACAAACACGCGAAAAACTGCAGTAAATGACCGGTTTCGAAGAAAAAATTGCACAGTAATACGCATATTTTTCTCGAATGAAATGTCAGACAGAGGAGACAAAAAACAACAACAAAAAAAAATCCCGTCTTCCTGATATATGGCACACAAGGTGGTGAAATCGTGACAGGAAGTGATTGATGGGCTCGAACCAGAACTTACCGCAAATCTTCATCCCCAGTTTCCGTGTGCATCCGTGCATCCACGCATACTCGTAGGCTAAAACAGAATGAACGTCTTTGAGTTTTGTTTGGGTGTGCGTCTGTGTGCGTGTGTGTTGTGCAGGCCGTGCAGAGGCGGATGACGACGGAGCACACACAGAGCGAGCACAGCGTGAAGCGACGGCTCTTCAGGTCATGTGGGTCATATTCTCCTTCCCTTTTTTTATTATTATTTTTGATCCACAGAATTGTTTGGCCTTTTTTTTGCCCTCTAATTAAATCCTCTGCGCCGTTACCCCCTTTGTATTTCAGAGAGAGTAGTTTTAAAACATTTCCGATTTGGTTCCAATCAATAGGGACCGAGGGGCCCATCCACGCCGGCTCGGAACCCAGCCAAGGGGCTGGCTGGAATTAACACCCGTGAAATGAGCCCACGGACGAGAAATTAATTGAGTGCAACGAAGGATATGTGGCTGGAAATGGGCGTGATTTGGGGCAAGCTGGAAGTAGAAAGCTACACCTTGCATCCGATGCACTGTAAAAAATTAATTTAGGAGGACATTAAATATGAACCAATAAAACTACTTATATATATATATTTTTAAATCAAGAGTCACATAAAGACAATGTTTCAAAAATGTTTCAATTGTAACAGCATTTGTCTTTGGGAACGTCCTATAGAAACATTTAAATCAGAATTAAATATTGGTTCACGCCACTGTTATTCTTATTCTTCATGTGTGGCGTCCAGCAAAGGATTCTGGGTATATATAGTGCAACAAAAATCAAAAATCAAAAGACTTGTGCCACAACAAGAAGTCAAGTTAGCGGTTAGTGCTAATGCTAATGTCATATATGCTGACAAGTGAAGTTTCTTGTGCCTACAATGTGATGGGATTTAATCAACAAAATTGATAAAATAATTTAAAACCTTTTTTTTCCTGAATATTTTTTTGGATTAATTTATGCCCTATAAAAATACATTTCTGAGTTAAATCTTAAGCATTAAAATGATCAAATTTTAGCGAGCATTTTAACTTGTAAATACAGTATAACATTCAATAACTAAGTGTTAAATTTTACATTAGTGAAAGTTAAAGAAGTGTAAAATGTTTTCGTGGTGAAACATACATTTCACATTTAGCCTGTTTAGAAACTGTGCTAATGCTAAACCTGCTAGCAAGTGGTGCTTTTAACCATGAGTCAACGGGAGAAGCACGTGTTAGCTGTGGTTACCATGGAAAGGTTTACAAGCCACCATTGTGTCCTCTTTGTGTCCTGATCAGGAGAAGTGCTGATGCTAACGCTAAACTTGCTAAGTAGCTCCTGTTGAGTTAGCACATCTCAAGAGTTAGTTGGGATTTTAACTGCTGGACCTTTATCATATTAATACTCAGAAATATTGAGACGAATATCTCTGACTAAAAAAAATATCCAAACAAGCTATTATGTTGGCTTTGTAGCTTAAATGCTAACGTGTTTTTTTTTCTGTACAGCATTGTCAATATTTCACAGCTTCTTAACCCTGAGGCTCTCATTAGGTTAGCACCATGCTAATCAAATTGTCATGTTTTTGTTTCTTTTCAACAAGAAGCACAAATGACTACCAAAAATCTCATTATTGAGGCATCTAGCAAATAGAAATGATTTAGGTAATACTAAGTGACATGTAGCTGCATGTTTGTCAAATAAATACATCTTTAAAACAGTATGAAATAATTTCTTTATAAGCCAGAAAACAAAACAAACAAACAAACAAACAAAAAAAAAAAAACATAATCTCTACTCATAGATATTTGCGCAAAAAATTATCCCCCCAAAGAATTACAAAATCTTTTTACCCTACAAAATCTTTTATTTTGGAAATCCTAACAGCTTGTTTTGTCAGTGCACAGAACTCAAGCACTGCAGCCTGAAGGAAGCGACAAGGCCTACATAAAGCACCCGATGAGGAACTCTATAAAACAAAAGAAAGCAGAGCAACAAAACAAAAAATGTGTTTTTACATGCTCAAGCGATCTCACGTACCACGACACAAAAAACACCCACGCACAGACACAAGGCGCCAGGCGTGAGATGGAGCACAGAAAATAGATAATGGCAACATCCAGCATCATCATCATCAGCAGCAGCAGACAAAACGAACATTTTAGTTTAGATTTTCTTTTTCTTGTTTTTTTGTTTTGTTTTGTGTTTGTTTTCCTCCAACGCGTCTTTGTGGGGGTACAGATTCGCCCTTGGGGATAAATGCGGCAGTTTGAGATACGTCCACTTGCCACCCAAAGGCCATAAATATAAAACCGTCACTCCGGAATGTTTCGTTTAAGAAAAACAAAAGAAGAAAATGTCATATGTCCTGCTTCACTGACCCCCCACCACCCACCCCTGAACTGGCGGTTCCTCGCTGCTGACTGCCTGAGGACAACACCCTGTTATTATTATTATTATTATTATTATTAGTAGTAGTAGTAGTAGTAGTAGTAGTAGTAGTATATTTTTGTTCCCTCCGCGTTGCGTTGCAGATGGCCGCTCAAACGTGTTCTAATAGAGTCCATTATGTGCTTGCGGCACAGACTGAAGATATGACTAATTAACCATAGGCTATATATATATATATATATATATATATATATATATATATATATATATATATATATATATATATATATATATATATATATATATATATATATATATATATATTTCGGTTTTATTGTGGTATATTAAGAAGTCAGAAGTAGATGTGAACGAATAAGAGCCCATCAAAAAAAAGAAAAAAGAATCAAACTGAAGCTGTGAATTATTGTGAATTATCATCATGTGTTTCCTATAGGGGAGGCTGTCGCTCAGACTGGCTTTAATAGTGCGTTATTTCAGCCTTGTCTGCTGCCCGGCGCGCACTGCTGATCCGCCAGACAGCGACAGGCTGCTGTAATGGCTCTGTTTTTAACCGGGATGATTAACGACGGAGCCCGCACAGCAAATGGCCCGGGCGAGACAGAGAGAGAGACAGAAAGAGAGAGACAGAGAGAGAGAGAGAGAGAGAGAGAGAGAGAGAGAGAGAGAGAGAGAGAGAGAGAGAGAGGTGAGGGGAATTGGACTGGGTTCAAAAGTGCCTTTCAGCAAGGCACCAACGGCCTTGTCATTGAGCTGTTGTCTTGTCTGAGGGCAACTCCTGAAAGAGGACACGGATCGGTGTGAGGACCTACTTCCAGACGGGGGTCTTAAATTCGCCGCGTTGGGGTCCTGCTCCTCCCCGGCGGCTCTGGGTTCGGACGTCGCCATCTCTATCTTCGTTATTTGGTGTCCAAAGCTGGGGGACGATTCACCTGCAAATAGAAACGGTGGGGGTGGGGATGGAGGTAGGGGGAGGGTATGGTGAAACCTGATGAAAATAAATAAATACGAATAAATAAATGTATATGTTTCCGCAGACCAAGCCCGGAGCTGTGGGCATCGACCAAAACGCGCAGTTGGAAAGGAATTGCGCACGACACGAACAGAACAGGTGCACGTCAAAATGCAGATGTTTGAGACGAGGCGATTCCCGCATGGATATTTTTAAATGATTGAAACGATTTGCAACAATTTCGAAACATAATGCACATAATGAGAATGATTGACAGGGACAAACCAGACTCCTCCATCACTGCGTCTTCCAACGTCTTAAGTCCCCCACTTAGAAATGATTCATTAGACCCCCAGAAAAATATAGGCTGCATATAAATTAAAAATAAAACATTTGCGATTTATTGTCGCGCATCCACAGTCGCCCGTCGCACCAGTTGATATTTTTCCGAAGGAGCACAAGGACACGGAAAACATTTAGACTGATTTTTGCTCTATTAAGAATCCATTTGATCTATAAAACATCGCAGTCTAGAAAAAAAAATGTCATAAAGGTGTGAGGTTTGGGGGGGAGAGAACACGTTCTGACATTCTTCTAGGATTTCAAATATCAAAAGTAATTGAGTATTTTAATCTAAAACCGGCGTTATCATCATCATCATTATTAGTGTTTATTTATGTTTCCATGACGCCAGCTCCGGGTTTATGATGCCCAGTCCGTCACCTGTCCTCGGACGCCTGTCAATAAACGCGACGGAGACGAAAGGAAGGGTGGACGGATCTTACCCGCTCAGGTTATCGACTCCACGCACTAACTGAACGACACGCGCGACAAGAAGCAGTCCATTGACGGAGGGAGCGCTCTGGATGAATCCAATCCTGCTGCGAGCGCACGCTGAGCCCCCTCAACTCCCGCTCCTCTCTCAAGAATATCGTCTATTCGTTATTTATATCGGAGGCTGAGGCTGCCCATTGGTCCCTCCACGCAGGCAAGTGAGTCACGGCGCTGCCTCCCCGTGACGACTAATGAAGCTTGCCCGGAGCCCACTGACAAGAAACCAGACAAGACTCTGGAGAGAGAGAGAGAAAGATAGAGAGAGCGTGGGGGTGGGGGCCAAAATGTGAAATTAAATGCAACAGTGAAGCGTTGATCCTTCAGGCACGTGCACGTCTCCAGGTGTGAGTTGGGTTGGGTGGAGTTATGATCCCCAAAACGCTTTCTGACTTGCTTCCTCACCTTGAGGAGACACATTTGTTTTGGGACTCTTCTTGGTTTTAATTCAGTCACGGTCGGGTTATTTTTGAAAACCCTGCTCATGTTTTTACAAATCAGCTGGAGACATGGACCACAGGCATTGAACCTCCTTTGGTTTAAACAGGTGCAGAGATTGACCAGTCAGTAACCGATGGCCACTTGTTGTCCTTTTTCATAAGGAAGAGGATTTATGGTTCTGTCAATCCTATCACCATGTTTGATGATGTTCTCCATCTGAATTGCTGAGTCAGTTTTTCACCAGATGTAATCAGACGCACACTTTGCAAAAGTTTCCGCCTTTTTTTCATGTGTCACATGATATTTTTTCCGTGTGTGAATGTGTGTGTGTGCATGAATGGTGCGTGGCATCCAAGGAGCAACATGAACCGATTTCACTCGCCGACATTCACGTTTCAGACGGGAAGTCTCGTAAAACCTCTCGAGATCCAGTGTGAGTTCAAGGTAAATAAACGTAGTGGACTGGGAAGAGGCAACGGAGATAGTTTCCAACATCCATCGGAGTTTCTGCTTGCAGTTGTTTGGTCCTCTGCGTATCTTTGATTCCTCTCCATGTCCTTGAGACTTTGGGTGAAAGCCATCAAGAATCTCGCTATGCGAACTGGCCATGAGGCTTGCAGAGATTCAGTTGTGACTTTGGGTGCTTGTGTTGCCCCCTAGATGAGTCATGGATACACTTTTAGGAGGATTTTGGTCGGCCGACCACTCTTGGAAAGTTCTCCCCACTGCTCATTGTTTCATTTGTTCAAATTGGCTCTGATTTTGTTTGACTGGAGTCCTAAACCCTTAGAAGTAGCGTTACAACCCTTTACATCCCATTGAATCTCAATAACTTTGTTTCTCAGCTGTTCTTCCATTTCTTTAAATCAGAACACAATGTGTTAGCTTTAGTGATCACATCTGATTTGGATTTCTGTGTGAACCTTCTGACGGGGCATCTTGCGCCATTTGTGTATTTTTTACACAAATACGACCTCTGTGTAAAAATTAACCAAAGAAATCATGGTTGAAAGAAAGAGATTAAAAATATATATCCTTTAAAGGTAATTACTAGTGGTTGTCAATGGAGCAGAGTGTTATTCTAGAAGCATTGACTCTCTGGGACAGGTACACCGAGCAGACAGATTTCAGGATTTATCTGTCTGTGCTCTGATGCCATTGTGTTCACCTCAATCTTCTGACACAATAATTGTACCTTTTTGTGTTTTCACCAATGGGAAGACGTTAAATAAGGCGTGTTTCAAAGAATCTCTCTTCAGTGTTGAGCAACGCAGTTCAGGTCCGGTCTGTCTGCGCATTTCAGATCTGGAACTCACTTGAGTTCAGGCTTGTTGAAGACACAAGCAATAAAACGGCGCTTGAAGCTTGATGAATGTAAATGCCTCTCGCTGCCCCCCTAACAGACTGATGCCCTGGGTGGTGAGTCATGTCGCCCATCTCAATACCGCCATCGAGTGCATCAGCAAAGAGAGCAAGATGAGTGTCCAGTTTGCCTGAAGACAAAATGTTTCCACGCAGAAATAATCCATTTGAGCAACATCTTTTACATTCACCTCAGCCTGTGTCATATTGTTTAAGCTCCACCCTGATTCATCAAAGTGACACACAGACAAAAACCTTCAGATAACAAAGCAAACCCCCCCCCAGCAGGTCCGATGTCTATTTATTGGCGTTCCCATCTTTCTGTTCTGCTCGCTGTTGATGTTCGGCACATTTTGTTTTCTAACTGGACCTTTCCAAAAACTCTTTTCATTTCTTTTTTCTTTGAACCAATCCAGCAGCATCATAACTGGGGCCCTTACATAATTAAAAACAGGTTTGAACTTGTTTGTCTGCTTTCTTTGCTGTGGCTGTGTGAGTTTCGCCTAAAACTTGAGCGTGGCAGATAAAAATTTCCTTTGTGCGACGTCTTGTTGCGCTGAGAAATTTGATGCCGCCGATTCTCCTGTCACCCGTCATCAAACCACAGCCGGCACAAAGGGCCAAACGAGGTGAAAGCTTGTTTGACCAGCTGCCGTCAGACCTCGGCAACTTCAAACATCGGGCTGGCTGCTCGTCTCCAACGGTTCCTGTCCACGGAGAAACCGTAAATGATCGATTTAAACTTTTAGCCTGACTTTAATATTTGAATACAAACTATTTATATTATGAAATTGATGCAACTCAAACTTTTTGCACTTCCGCAGGGTTTGTGTTCAATGTTCTCATTTTAATGAAGTGCGTTCATTTTTCCTGATATTTGTTGTGTTCTTGAAACGGCTGAAGTCCAAAACATTCCTTTCTGGGGCAGCCTGAGACTTTTATCACGTGAACCTCTTCAGTGGGCGTTGCATTACACTTGCACAGTGACATTTCTTAACATTTTGTCTTCAGGCAAACTAGAGACTCATTTCCAGGTTTAGTTTGCAGGAACGGTCTTGTTTGGTCTTTTCACAGTGTTGAAATAATATTTTAAATTAGCACAATACTGCACAGGATAGTTTTGATACATATGAAATATACCATAGAAAGTTAAAGTACACTCTACATTCACATAAATTTAGATAAAGATCCAAACTAAAACAACTGCTGAATCTCTGAACTTATATAAATTCTTAGGGAGGATTCTACAGAAAAGACAGGCCTAGAATCTCTTTAGACAGAGAGTCTGTCTGCCAGGCAATTAACAAATTCCTTAGCATGGTTCAAAAGTTCACTAGGATCTTAAAACTTTTTATAAATAATTTTATCTATATTAGAATTAACTATATTTCTTTAAGAATGTTTTTAATTAGTTACTTATTAGATCCAAACTTATAGTCATTATTTAGCATTACATTGTGTGCAAGCTTGGTTAAAAATACAAACTACTTTCTTGTGGAAACATTTTGAGGCACAGATAGCGCTGCAGCTGCAATCATATATCAAACTGGACAGCGGCTGATACGAGAAGGGTTTGCCGTATATCTGCTTTTGGGGCTCTTTAGCAGGAGGTAATAAAATTAACATTGAGACAGCCCACACAAAGGAAAAGAACACACCTCCTAATGCATATATTTAAATGAGGAGAATATGCAGTCTATAAAAAATGGTTTGTTTCACAGCAGAAGTTGGAATCTCTTTGTGCTGAGTGAGAGTTTCCCGGAGGATGCATCTTCTGTCTTTTTTACTCAGTTCTTTGTCTCTGTTTTGTAATGTCTTGGACTTTTGATATTCTAGGTGAGATGATTATTGTAACATTCTTCTTGCATTGATTTTCTCTGGATAAAACTCTGAATATCTGAAGTCTGATGTCGTATGATTGCTCTTTTCTCTCTGCACACTTACACAGACACAGGAAGTCGGGACAAAGAATTAATTAAAGAGCTAAATCAAGTTCTTCATCTTTTAATTCTTAACAACAGTGATAGACACAGAGAAAGCCTGAGGCAGGGCAGATAGATCCCGTTTTACACAGGGGATGAAAGCGGACCGACGGTATTCATGGGGGGCCGTGGACCCCAACCACAAGTAGCTAAAATCCTCAAATACTTGAGCACCCCCTCTAAAACACTTATAAGTGCCTATTTTAACAATTCAAGCACTACATATACCTTGATATGTATCAGTAAGTACAGTCGCAACTGTCTTAGCACTGCAGCAGAAGCTAGCATCTTTCTTACCTCCACTATTGACAGTACGGAAAAACAAGTGGCGGCCATTGACTGGCTGTGTGCCAATGCCAGCCAATAGCTGGTCAAATATCACTGTATTAGTAACTTTAGTATATGAGAATACTTAAACATTATTATTTAAATTGATATAAAATGTACCTATTGATATTAATAAAATTAGGATTGCTTGATTCACGCTGACTTGCAAATGCTGACAAACAAAACGCTCCTCTTTTCCATTAGTGCTCCATCTCTGTCAGACACTGGTCGCGTGGAATGTGTGTATGTGGTGTTTTGTGTGTGATTATAATTGTGTGTAGACCCTGACGAACACCAGATCATTTACAAACACTTCGGTGAGTTCAAGTGTTTGAGTTTTGGATTTGTTTGCTTTTTGTTCTAGTTTATTTCTTCTATTAGTTTTGTTTCTCATTGTAGGCCTTCGGTTTATTTTGTTAGATTTGGTAAGTATTTTTTGTCACTATTTATGTTCTCTCTCTTCTAGTTTCATTGTTGTTTTTGCCATAGTTACTCTACCTTTCTACCTGCTATTTCTTTCACTACTTGGTTCTTTTCTTTACATCTTCTGTGTATCTACCTCTCGGTTAGACTTTGGTTAGACTCATAACCAAAAGACTTTTAAAAAGGTGCACTTCATTTAGCTACAGCAACATCGTATATGACGTCATTTACCTCAACTCGTAACCTTAGACATGTTTTCCAAGCCCACCTCTTTTTACTCCAACTTGCTAAATCGCCGTTTAGGAAATAAAATGCTGCACAGCTAAGCCACTCACAGCACAAAGAGCAGTGTTTGTAACACTTTAAGCTTCAGTGTCTGGCGGTTTCACAGCTTCCCTCAAGTAACTGTTCCTGTCCACCCTCGGTGGCAGCCATAATTCATCCAATAAGTAGCTGTAACTGCTACATTAGCCGCGCACACTTCGAAATGACTCGCCTCAGTCTCAACTCAGCATGCAGCGAGAGAGAGAGAGAGAGAGAGAGAGAGAGAGAGAGAGAGAGAGAGAGAGAGAGAGAGAGAGAGAGAGAGAGAGAGCGAGGGAGAGTTTGTGGAATAAGTTGTTGTGTGGCTGTAATAGGTTCAGGTCTTCTTGGCACTCGGCTGTATTATTTCATGCCTGTCTTGGGA